AGCCAGGAAGAGAGGTGGCTCACCAACAGCCTGCAAAGATCATCAAGCTTGCCTTTAGAGATTGCTATTCACAACTAACCCACACTTTGTATTAAATGGTTAAAGCCAACTAAAATGTAAAATATGACCCTTGTCATTACATGACAATTTGCCTTAAATAGTGCTTATGTCCATACAGATTTGATAAAGACTGTTTCAAGATGACACTTTGGACATCCTGGACAATTACCAAGCTACAACTGTGAAATGAATTGCTCCAGACACAGTATAGTGATTGTTATTCCTTGTACAGTCTATTCATATTTACCTATACATGTATATATCTTTAAAGTTCAGGTGAACATTTTACTGAACAGCATAAACAAAGTAAAAATAATAATGGATATTCATCTGAGAAACACTGATGTTATAGTATTCCAAAAGGACCTGAAAAAAATTTTAGTTTGGGAAAATGTTAATATAGAAAAACCCCGGGAGCCAAACCCTTTGGGACGAGAAGACAGCTCGGGGGTTAGGCCCCTCGCAAAAGGGAGACTTTAAAAATTCCTTGGTAGTCCTGAAAACCTGTGAATGAACCTTATGGTTCTCTTAAAAAAAATTTTTTAATAAAACATTAAATGAAAAGATGAAGAATTTTGTTTTTTCCCTTTTTTGTGGAGCATGACAAAGGAAAACTGGCCTAGAATACAGTCGCTCGGGGAAAACTGAAATTTGTAGAAAATCCCCAAACGCGGGTTATTGTCTACTATAACTATCTTAAATCACCAAACTAAAAGGGGAAGAATAGGGGTTTAATCCAGTGGAAATTACAGACCAACATAAACAGGTTTAGTACCTTACAAATTCATTAATTGAAAACTCAGAACGCAGAATTAGGTTCAAAAATTCCAAAAAACTCAGTAATAAAATTCTTAGGGTCACACAAAACCGAACTTTGGGGAATGGGAAAAAACAAATTTCATTTTTGCCCCGGACTTCAAGAAGTAACTTAAAAAGCCAAGAAATACCAGGCAGCCCATTTTAATAAAATTAGTTATAAATCGTAGATCCCCTTTGGTAAGTTTTCCCCCATAGTAAAAAAATTAATAATTTCCTAATTTATACCCCCCTGAGAAACTTTCTTTTATCAACATTAAGCAATTTGTGGAGACTGTCTTCCGGGTAATTGAAATTTCCGGGCCGCGAGTGAGAAGGACCCCCTCAGGAGAGAGCCAGCTCCCCCAGGGGTGTAGAGCCCCAAACCCCGCATAAACCCCCTTTCCACCTGCCCATTCATAGCGGGGTTTGAGAGATTCACCCACCCCATCACATTCTTTCGCAACCTGCTCTTTAAGAAATAGTAAAGAGTTTTTCACATACAGGGGAACCCTTATTATAGTGCATTCAAGCGTTTTTTTTCCAGATAAAAAGCTCCTGGGTGTTTTTTTGCTTCCAGACGCGAGAAAAATTTTCCCAGAGTGAGGGGGCACCAAGGGGGGTTAATTGCCAGGGTGAGGGGGCTTTTGCTCTTTATCTGGGGAATGGATCTCATTGTTTGTTGGACTATTTACTGAAATTTGGGGCAATGTATATAAAAGATGCTTTTAAATATACCAAAAATAAAAGAAATCGGACCATAAATAACGGAGTTCTTCCCAGCAGTTACCTCCCTAGGGGAAATTTTTTCGTATGGATTTTATGGTTGTTTTCTCGTTTTATTTGGGTCTTGTGTGATAGAAGGAAGATTAAAAAAAAAAATAAACATATTTTCAACGGTTTCAAAAATGAAAAGTACCCTGAAGTTGAGCTCAAAATAGCAAAATGTTCGATTCTTTGGCGACATCTGGTAACATCAGAGGAAGCATGGCAACAACAAAGCAGCAGTGGGGAGACAATGAGGAAAGGGCAGACAAAAGAGCAGCATGGCAGCATCATGAGGGAGCAGTGGCAACAACTAAAACAGCAGTGGGGGGACATCATAGGTAGCAGTGGCAGACAACAGAAGCCGCAGGGCAGACATCATGAGGTAGCAGTGGCAGAAACTAAGTAGCAGTGGCAGACACATAGGTACAGTGGCAGACAAAAAAGTAGCATGGGAGACAACACAAAGGGACATGAAGACAAAATGAAACAGCGTGCAACAACAGAGGTAGCGTGGCAGAACCCCTGAAGTAGCATGGGAGAAACATGAAACGCGTGGCAGACAAACAAGGTAGCAGTGGGGCAAAAAACATGAAGCGCAGGGCAGACAACATGAAAAGCTTTGGTGACAAAAAAGCAGATCCCTGAAACATGAAGCTCATAGCAACAACATAACCACGTGGCAACAACATGAACAAGTGGCAGACAACAGAAGCACTTGGCAGACAACGTGAAGCAGCATGGCGACACATAAGCACAGTGGCAGACAACTGAAGCAGCTGGGAGACAACAAGAAGCAACAGTGGCGCAACAGAAGCACAGTGGGAGACAAAATAAAGCACAGGGGAGACAAAAAGAAGTAGAGTGGCAACATGAGTACAGGGGGAGACAAAATGAAAACACTGGAAAGTGTCTTAAGAGTGTAGCAATTAAGTGTACATTAAGAGTGTAGCAATTAAGTGTAGCATTAAGAGTGTAGCAATTATTTTGTACAATTAAGTGAAGCATTAAGAGTGTAGCATTTATAAGTCACTCTGTCTGACTTTTCGGGGTTATCCTAGGTTCTTACACATGTAGTCAGGAGCAGGAAGGGCCCACTGTGGGGGCCCATAAACCCCAACAACAATGGCTGCTGTCACTACCACACCACATACCTAATACATGTATTTTATTCATTCTAGTGTATATATCATGTTTCTATGTTATTAGTATTGTGTATTATGTCATATTACATTAATTGTGATAGATAAAATAAGCGTAGAGTTGATAGTGGGGAAATTTATTAAAGTATTTTCTCGTGCCGGGGAATTTCCCCACTGGAACAAATTAATTCCATTTCAATTAATTTAAATGAGGAAAATTGACTCTGCAAATAAGTAAATCCAGTTGCGAGCAAGGTCATGGAATGGATTAAACTCGTAAGTAGAGGTTCCACTGTATATGTTGAAGTCAGTCAATAAGAGACAAGCCATTCCTGTGTAACAATGAACAGTCATAGAAATTTTTTTTATTGCTATTTTTAAATTTTATATTTTTTCTTTTATTTACATTTGATGTTTAGGTCTGGTTCTTATAACTGATTTTCTATGATTATGTACAGTGCTTAATGAAGCATGTTAATTTCAAAGCCAGTTTTGAATAAATATTTCATGTAGCAGTGTTGATTTTCATGTTATACACACTCCAAGTTATCCTATTTTACTCCATCTTCTCTAAATAACCAAACCTCAACAACCCCTCCTCAGCCCTCTGAATAATACATTTAGTAACTCCACACCCTTCCAAATTTTCCCAAACACTAAGAATTCTCTGCAAAAAAATACATATATGCCCTTAGACATGACATTTTCCACTGCTTCCAGCCTCCTCCTTGTTATAATATTCACAATCCATGCTTCACACCCATATAAGAATGCTGGTAGCACTATACTCTCTTTGCTTCAATGAATAATGTTCTTTGTCTCCACAAGTACCTCAATGCACCACCCACCCTTTCTTCCTTCATTATTCCTCTGCAGGAACCAGCCATCACAGGGAGTGGTGATTTAAACCCCTGACCATCACATATACAGGGACTACCTCAGGAACGACACCATCACACTTTCTGTAACTCACCGAGTGATCTCCTTGTAAGACAATCCACTTCCCCCCTCTGTCACGCAGCTCCATATGAGTAATAACTGAAGAGTTGACCTTCGAGTGTCTCAAAATTGAATTTGAGACGAGAGGAATTCTGTAAAAAAATGATGCTTCTTGTCTACAACCGAGCATTGTTTCACTATTTTTAATGTATTCATTGAAAAGTGTTACAGGTCAAAAATGTTACTAACACCTGCCAATATGTGAGAAACTTAACTTCAGTTCATTGGAACAAGAGCCCTTCCCCAGCATCAAGACACCTCACTTCCCCTTTCCCACACTGTTTCTGTTCTTGAAGGAAACCGTCTCAAAACTTGGCGCTAAACCCAACACCATTTCAGTGTAAAATTTAACTTGAAAAGAATCTAACACTGGCTCATTACTGAAAGTAGGCGAGTGCCTTATTGACAGAAGAATCCTCTCCTTCCTCAGATCAGACCTAATTACTTCCCATTTCTCAGGCATTGTATGAGCCCTTACAAATTTAGTACTTTCTCACTAATGTAATAATAATGCAATGCCTATTAGATTCATTGCTCTGAGACGTTTTTCTTTGTCTAATGAAAGTAAAAGTCTGAAACCCTGAGAATGTACAATCCAGTGGTGGCTCGTCCATAGGATCTGCAGAGCTGCAGTCCCCACAGATGCTCACTTCATCAATCTTATGCTAAAATAATTTGCAGCTGACAAATATATTTCAGGAAAAATCTGTTGGATATTGTTTTCAATATTTATAAGCAAATTTTTAATTGTTTTGTTGAAATGAGATAAAAAATTATTAAAATAGAAGTTTGATGCAGTACGATAGTGTATAGGTATTAGTGGCGCTACGAGCCGCCACTGGTACCATCAGTATTGCAACATCAATATTATATTATTACATCAACATTGTAACAGTACTACAATATCAGAATTTCAATGGCTTTTACTGAGACTTTCCCACTTGAAGCATTGTCTCCAGTGAAGAAATTTTTCTCTCCAAGTGATAAACCTGCTAAGCTTTAGCATTAAACTGAAGGTTGTACTACCGGCAGTGTGGGTTAAGGGTCGTAGTGCTGACAAGAATGAATACAAAGATATATGTGCCATAGCCAGCATGTACTGTCAAATAATGTCGCTCTAAAGTTTCATGGCCCAGTGACTTGAACAAAGGTTCTCCTGAGAGCCAGACATTGAAGAGAATGAAGGGTCATCTGATACATGTCTGTCTTCACTGCATGAACAATTACTTATAGAATCCCGTGGCAGCAAGCGACTTACTTGTAGAATCCTGTGGCAGAAAGTGAAACACGGTCAAAGTAAGCTGCCTTCACCCACTCCTCCCAAGTTCCTTGAGGACTCTGAGCTATGTATGGTTGTAGTCGTTTCATTATCTTCTCGCATGCTTCCTGTGTTTACAACAAATGATTAGTGCGTTGGTTAATTCTTGTGTTACTGTCAATATCCTTGTTCTAGTGGGGACACAATGTAAAGAATGAGCTTTTATTGGGAGAAACTTGTACCAATGAAAGTTGGAACAACTTTCTCACAACTTTGCCCTTATAGTTCATAGGGTTTACTGCCAGGAGATTACAAAATGGTCATTAAGGCTACAGGTCCCTAAAATAGGGATTAAAGTTTGGTCTCAGTGTATGATGAGAGATACACACCTCTTGGCATATATGTATATGAATGTGCTTCATACCTATACATCCATTCTTCTACTTCATTTTGCTTTGTTACTTTGTTCCATGGTGGAAACTATGGAATATACACTGAATTACTTCTTTTTTTTTTCAACAAACTGGCCATATCCCACCGAGGCAGGGTGACTTATTGTTATTATTAATTTAAAGCTATAAACAGACCTAGGTCATTCAGCTCGAGAAGTTCTGGAGGCTTGATCCTTCGTGTACTAATGACTAAAGACACATTCTACCTAACTGCTACAATTACTTCTAATGTCTTGCACCTTACTAGTATACCTCTACACATCTGTTGAGCACAGGAGGCAGTAATACTTACAAGAACAGCCATACCATTGAGATCAGAGGAGACTGAAGCAGCTGTGGGCGAAGTATTAGGCACCTTGTCTGAAGAAGTCTCCGCTATGTGTATCTTTTCTGTGGGGACCTTCAGTGCTCGAGATGCTACCTGTCCGAAAATAAAAAAAAAAAAAAAAGATTTCCAAATTAAAAACAAAACTTAACATGTAAATGCTGTTGTGTGTTTATTTTAAGGAAAATAATGCATGTACTCATTAATACATAAACATATGATAAACTGCATTATTCAAATAGTTTTTTCTTTCTGGAGGAAACTTTCTTTTCTGATTCACGTCCAGATGGGGGCAACATTTTTTTCCTGGATGCTGGTTATTTCAACTTGGCATTGTACATATGACATATGGCAATGAGTGCTTAGTGTACTGAGTCGTCAAAGCATTCCATAAATACTACAAGCAGAACTACTTAACTCCCAACAGCCAGCACTGCCTTATCATTATCATACCTGTATCATCTTGGTGTGGAGACCCTGGCCCATCTCAGTGCCACCGTGAGATAGGAGGATAGAACCATCAGTGTAAACCATAACCAGAGCTCCAGCTTGGTTCATGAAAATTTCAGTGAAAGAGATGCCAAACTTGACTGGCACTAATGCAATCCCTCGCTTCTTGTACTTATTCTCCCTAGGAGAAGAAAAAATTACAATTCCATAAGGATTAAGTACAGAAAAATCCTCATTTCACTGTTTGTATTTCATTATTCATTATGATGTTCTCACTTAAATATATTGTAACATATATACTAACCTAATATTCTCTACTTCAGTATTCACTACTACAAATGCTATACCTAATTGTTATAAAAAAATCTCAAAATGTCAAATCATAAACGAAGTTGCTATATACAATATCAAAGACTGCAAATAGGAGAAAATTGCACGTTCCTGATGGAAAATAAGAGTACATATTTATTTTATGGGGGTGGGGGAGGGAGGAGGGAATGCTAAACCTACTGGGATTTTATAAGGATAGCTTGGTGGGAGACGGCCGACTTGCTGAAAAAAAAAAAAAAAAAGCTTGAATTCTTTGAATCAAGAATCTTACCAGCATCAAGGCACCTCTCTCGAAGGGCGAACATGCAAAGTACTGAGCTCACCTGTTAAACTGGTGGACTCGAGCAGTCCTAGTATGAAAGCTGGACTGGTGTTTTACCTCCTGCCAGCAGCGCTTTAGGGTGCATCGCTCCAGTACTTGTCTGCAGTGTGTGCTGTCTCCATTCTCATTCAGGTTCCTCTCCCTTACCTGTCAGCAATGCTCTTGTCAACTCATCTTTGTTGAGGCTTGATGCTGTGCATTAGCTTCATGTTGATGGCCATGAATGGTGGTGATAATAACTGATAATGATGATATCAGTTCAAAAATATTATTGATATATACAAAGTGGCAGCAATGCTGTATGGGGTATCATTAGACAAACCACTATTACAGTAACCAGAGTATACAGTTTCATAATACATAAAGGATCAGTATACACAGGAAGCAGAGGTAACGACCAGCATCTGTATCAGTCACAGACAAATATAATGGTCACAGCAACAAAGACAACCTACTTGAGTAGGGTCAACCTTGAGGAAGGCTGCCACTCTAGACACAATGTCCTCAGCAAACAACATAGCCTGGGGTCCTCCAAACCCTCTGAAGGCAGTGTTGGAGGGTAGGTTTGTCCTGCAGGCGTACCCCGTCACCTCCATCGACCCCCACCTGACCAAAACATCACCCACACCATTAATATTTGCATTTAAATTATTGTTAATAGTCACTAGGGGCACTAAACTCCTAGGGTATGAGAGACTGATTAGGTTTAATGAAAGGAAAAAGAGTGTAGTTCCATATCGATGTGAAAACAAGATTAGCTATAAATAATGAATATAGAATAAAGAATAAAAAAGTCACAAAGCAGTGGCTGGAATAATTCAGAAAACTTGCACTTAGGAGAGGACACTCATAACGTTAAGGCAGTGGACACTGATCACTTAAACACGAAACAAATATCTATATACACAGATTATGCACCAACAGGGAATACAGTCACAGAAACCCAAGGCAAACGGAAACCAAACCTGTGCACATACTATGCACTTGGTATCTGCAGACATGGGAAATCTGGAAAAACAAATGGGACGTGCAACTATGACCACCCTAGAAAGTGCCATGCCCATATGACAACAGGAAAATGCAAACTCCCTTCCTGTAAGCTTTTTCACCCTGAAATGTGTACCTCTTCAGTACAGGAAAGACTGTGCTATAACTTAAATTACCAGGCACACCATCTAAAGGGGACAAAAAGATACAAAACATCCAGGCCATGGAAAAACCTGGGTAGCCACAGCCACTCAAGAGGAGAGTTTTTTAGTGCCAGGAAGGAAAAAAAACTGGCAGGAAATGGCAGAAATTGTACACCAAATACAGTCATTCCTGGAGTGGAACCACAGTCGATGGCCTCCACTCCAAACCAACAGATACAGATACTAATGCCGGAAAAAAAATCCCCCCCCAGTACCAACAATACCACCAGTCCGATGACATTCTTCTTTGCAAATATACAGGGTCTAAAGCCAGCAACAAACAACAAAATACCTTTCATCCGTGGACTGCTTGCAGAGGCAAAGGCAATGTTCGCGGCTTTCACTGAGACCCACATAAAGGATCACTTAGACAACGAAATATGGATCCCAGGTTACAACCTATACAGATGTGACAGAGTGAACAGGCAAAAGGGGGGGGGAGGGTTGGCCAGTACATTGCAGAGTCACTTGTTTGCACAGAACTGCTTAATGCCTCAAATGATGTAGTGGAAGTTTTAGCAGTAAAGGTCGAGAACCCAAACCTAGTCATTGTGGTAGTCTACAAGCCTCCTGATGCAACATCCCAGCAATTCCAGGAACAGCTGTTAAAAATTGACCACTGTCTGGAAAATCTTCCAGCTCCTGCACCCAACATCTTGCTCCTTGGGGATTTCAACTTAAGGCACCTAAAATGGAGGAATATAGCAAATAATATTGTTGCAGTAATAACACCAGGAGGCAGCTCTGATGAAAACTCACACTCACACGAGCTTTTAAATCTCTGCACAAAATTCAATTTAAACCAGCAAATAATAGAGCCTACTAGAATGGAGAATACACTAGACCTCATCTTCACTAACAATGAATGATACTGATAAGAAATGTCACCATATCAAAAAACAATATACTCAGATCACAACATAATTGAGGTTCAGACATGTATGCGTGGAGCCCCAGACTGACAAAATGAGATTAGCCACGAGGGAGCATTCACCAAATTCAACTTCAATAACAAAAACAAAGTGGGACCAAGTAAACCAAGTCCTAACCGATATAAGCTGGGAAGATATACTAAGCAACACAGACCCCAACTTATGCCTAGAACAGATTAACTTGGTGGCACTCGATGTATGCACAAGACATTATTCCTCTAAGAAAAAGAAGGAGTAGATGTAAAATAGAAAGAGACAGGCGCTCTCTTTTACAGGCGACGGAAAAGAATAAACAGAGCGGCTAAAAGAGGTCAATCTATCTGAAATGCATAGGGAGACACTGGTCAGAGAAATAGCAAGCATCGAACTTAAGCTAAAGGAATCTTATAGGAGTCAGGAATCGCGGGAAGAACTAAAAGCCATAAATGAAATCGAAAGAAACCCAAAGTATTTCTTCTCCTATGCCAAATCAAAGTCGAGAACAACGTCCAGTATTGGGCCCTTACTTAAACAAGATGGGTCCTACACAGATGACAGCAAGGAAATGAGTGAGTTACTCAAGTCCCAATATGACTCAGTTTTTAGCAAGCCACTAACCAGACTGAGAGTCGAAGATCAAAATGAATTTTTTATGAGAGAGCCACAGAATTTGGTTAACACAAGCCTATCTGATTTTATCATGATGCCAAATGACTTCGAACAGGCGATAAATGACATGCCCATGCACTCTGCCCCAGGGCCAGACTCATGGAACTCCGTGTTCATCAAGAACTGCAAGAAGCCCCTATCACGAGCCTTTACCATCCTATGGAGAGGGAGCATGGACACGGGGTCGTCCCACAGTTACTAAAAACAACAGACATAGCCCCACTCCACAAAGGGGGCAGTAAAGCAACAGCAAAGAACTACATACCAATAGCACTAACATCCCATATCATAAAATCTTTGAAAGAGTCCTAAGAAGCAAGATCACCACCCATCTAGAAACCCATCAGTTACACAACCCAGGGCAACATGGGTTTAGAACAGGTCGCTCCTGTCTGTCTCAACTATTGGATCACTACGACAAGGTCCTAGATGCACAAAGGGAAGACAAAAAGAATGCAGATGTAATATATACAGACTTAGCAAAAGCCTTCGACAAGTGTGACCATGGCGTAATAGCGCACAAAATGCGTGCTAAAGGAATAACAGGAAAAGTCGGTCGATGGATCTATAATTTCCTCACTAACAGAACACAGAGAGTAGTAGTCAACAGAGTAAAGTCCGAGGCAGGCACGGTGAAAAGCTCTGTTCCACAAGGCACAGTACTCGCTCCCATCTTGTTCCTCATCCTCATATCTGACATAGACAAGGATGTCAGCCACATCACCGTGTCTTCCTTTGCAGATGACTCCCAAATCTGCATGACAGTGTCTTCCATTGCAGACACTGCAAGGCTCCAGGCGGACATCAACCAAATCTTTCAGTGGGCTGCAGAAAACAATATGAAGTTCAACGATGAGAAATTTTAATTACTCAGATATGGTAAACACGAGGAAATTAAATCTTCATCAGAGTACAAAACAAATTCTGGCCACAAAATAGAGCGAAACACCAACGTCAAAGACCTGGGAGTGATCATGTCGGAGGATCTCACCTTCAAGGACCATAACATTGTATCGATCGCATCTACTAGAAAAATGACAGGATGGATAATGAGAACCTTGAAAACGAGGGATGCCAAGCCCATGATGACACTCTTCAGGTCACTTGTTCTATCTAGGCTGGAATATTGCTGCACACTAACAGCACCTTTCAAGGCAGGTGAAATTGCTGACCTAGAAAATGTACAGAGAACCTTCACGGCGCGCATAACGGAGATAAAACACCTCAATTACTGGGAGCGCTTGAGGTTCCTGAACCTGTATTCCCTAGAACGCAGGCGGGAGAGATACATGATTATATACACCTGGAAAATCCTAGAGGGACTAGTACCAAACTTGCACACGAAAATCACTCACTACGAAAGCAAAAGACTTGGCAGACGATGCAACATCCCCCCAATGAAAAGCAGGGGTGTCACTAGCACGTTAAGAGACCATACAATAAGTGTCAGGGGCCCGAGACTGTTCAACTGCCTCCCAGCATACATAAGGGGGATTACCAACAGACCCCTGGCAGTCTTTAAGCTGGCACTGGACAAGCACCTAAAGTCGGTTCCTGATCAGCCGGGCTGTGGCTCGTACGTTGGTTTGCGTGCAGCCAGCAGTAACAGCCTGGTTGATCAGGCTCTGATCCACCAGGAGGCCTGGTCACAGACCGGGCCGCGGGGGCGTTGACCCCCGGAACTCTCTCCAGGTAAACTCCAGGTAATACAATATATCTCGCTTACTCTCTCTCACTCCTTGGTTACACTTTATTGTTGCTAAGTCCGTAAAAGTTTAAAAAATTGTATTAACCACACTGTATATCAGAAGTGTATAATATACATGTCTCTCTTTATTAAATCATTGCTGATTAGATACCTCAGTAATCAGATAATGTTCAGAAGGTTTCTTGCTGTAGTTCAAATTTCTATAACTGGATTATTATATTCATGGGAAGTATTAAACCTATTAAGGGTCATGCAGTGCCTGCAGAAATGGAGAGATATTCAGATTTGATTCAAGGAATAGGAGAATGGCCCCAATTCCTTTGATCAAGAGCCCTTCACCAGCATCAAGGCACTGCCCTGACTGGGTCTATATCATAAGAACAGTAAAACTTTACTCACCTGTAAGCATTATCTATGGAGAAACTAGGTCTATATAATAAGAACAGTAAAACCTTACTCACCTGTAAGCATTATCTATGGAGAACATGGCCTTGTGAATGACTGCACCACTGAGATCAAGGGAGAAGCCACCGTTGGCATAAAGATCGACCTTGAGGGCGAGCAATTTGCCATCACTAGAGAATCCAACCTTCCAGCGACACAGAAACGGGTTTCGTCCCCCTGTTGCCACCATGTCCTCGTCCCTGTCTAGCATGATGCTCACTGGCCGTCCCAACCTGCAGGGAACAGATGATTATCATACCAGCATCTTAACCCATTATTGTTATTATATTTAGGGAAGAGAACTGAAAGTGTATAAACTAAGGGAGGAGGAAGTTCGAGTGAGACATAAGCAATTATTGGCAGAAAGGTGGGCTAGTGCAAATATGAGTAATGGGGGGGAAGGTTGAAGAGGGTTGGAATAGTTTTAAAAATGCAGTATTAGAAAGTGGGGCAGAAGTTTGTGGTTATAGGAGGGTGGGTGCAGGAGGAAAGAGGAGTGATTGGTGGAATGATGAAGTAAAGGGTGTGATAAAAGAGAAAAAGGTAGCTTATGAGAGGTTTTTACAAAGACGAAGTGTTATAAGAAGAGCAGAGTATATGGAGAGTAAAAGAAAGGTGAAGAGAGTAGTGAGAGAGTGCAAAAGGAGAACAGATGATAGAGTGGGAGAGGCACTGTCAATAAATTTTAATGAAAATAAGAAAAAAATTTGGAGTTAAACAAGTTAAGAAAGCCTAGGGAAAGTATGGATTTGTCAGTTAAAAACAGAGTAGGGGAGTTAATAGATGGGGAGATGGAGGTATTGGGTAGATGGCGAGAATATTTTGAGGAACTTTTAAATGTCAACGAAGAAAGGGAGGCAGTAATTTCATGCATTGCTCAGGGAGGTATACCATCTTTTAGGAGTGAAGAAGAGCAGGATGTGAGTATGGGGGAGGTGGGCGAGGCATTATGTAGAATGAAAGGTGGTAAAGCAGCTGGAACTGATGGGATCATGACAGAAATGTTAAAAGCAGGGGGAGATATAGTGTTAGAGTGGATGGTATTTTTGTTTAATAAATGCATGAAATAAATAAATGTATGAAAGAAAAATGGTCACACACAGAAGTGCACTGTTGGGTTCCTCACACTCCACTCATCAAACCCACGTTTCTTCCATTTTATATGTGTAGTAGGTTGGTAGACAGCAACCACCCAGGGAGGTACTACTGCCCTGCCAAGCGAGTGTAAAACGAAAGCCTGTACTCGGTTTACACGATGGTAGGATTGCTGGTGTCTTTTGTCTTTGTCTTTCTCATAAATATACAAGATTACTGGTACGTCACGCTACTTCTACTTACACTTAGGTTACACTACACATACATGTACACATTTATATATACACACTCATCTGAGTTTTCTTTGATTTTATCTTAATAGTTCTTGTTCTTATTACTCTTCCTTTTATATCCATGGGGAAGTGGAATAAGAATCTTTCCTCCGTAAGCCCTGCGTGTTGTAAAAGTCAACTAAAATGCTGGGAACAATGGGCTAGTAACCCCTTTTCCTGTAATATACTCATATATGAGTGAGCTACTCAAGTCCCAATATGACTCAGTTTTTAGCAAGCCACTAACCAGACTGAGAGTCGAAGATCAAAATGAATTTTTGTGAGAGAGCCACAGAATTTGGTTAACACAAGCCTATCTGATGTTATCCTGATGGCCAATGACTTCGAACAGGCGATAAATGACATGCCCATCCACTCTGCCCCAGGGCCTGACTCATGGAACTCCGTGTTCATCAAGAACTGCAAGAAGCCCCTATCACGAGACTTTACCATCCTATGGAGAGGGAGCATGGACACGGGGGTCGTCCCACAGTTACTAAAAACAACAGACATAGCCCCACTCCACAAAGTGGGCAGTAAAGCAACAGCAAAGAACTACAGACCGATAGCACTAACATCCCATATCATAAAAATCTTTGAAAGAGTCCTAAGAAGCAAGATCACCACCCATCTAGAAACCCATCAGTTACACAACCCTGGGCAACATGGTTTAGAACAGGTCGCTCCTGTCTGTCTCAAATATTGGATCACTACACAAGGTCCTAGATGCACTAAAGACAAAAAGAATGCAGATGTAATATATACAGACTTTGCAAAAGCCTTCGACAATGTGACCATGGCGTAATAGCGCACAAAATGCGTGCTAAAAGGAATAACAGGAAAAGTCAATCGATGGATCTATAATTTCCTCACTAACAGAACACAGAGAGTAGTAGTCAACAGAGTAAAGTCCGAGGCAGGCACGGTGAAAAGCTCTGTTCCACAAGGCACAGTACTCGCTCCCATCTTGTTCATCATGACTCAAGAAATCGTAATGACACGATTGCAAACAAACCATACCCCCGGCCAGGGTATGGTTTGTTCCTCATCCTCATATCTGACATAGACAAGGATGTCAGCCACAGCACCGTGTCTTCCATTGCAGATGACACCCGAATCTGCATGACAGTGTCTTCCATTGCAGACACTGCAAGGCTCCAGGCGGACATCAACCAAATCTTTCAGTGGGTTGCAGAAAACAATATGAAGTTCAACGATGAGAATTTCAATTACTCAGATATGGTAAACATGAGAAATTAAATCTTCATCAGAGTACAAAACAAATTCTGGCCACAAAATAGAGCGAAACACCAACGTCAAAGACCTGGGAGTGATCATGTCGGAAGATCTCACTTCAAGGACCATAACATTGTATCGATCGCATCTGCTAGAAAAATGACAGGATGGATAATGAGAAACCTTGAAAACGAGGGATGCCAAGCCCATGATGACACTCTTTCAGGTCACTTGTTCTATCTAGGCTGGAATATTGCTGCACACTAACAGCACCTTTCAAGCAGGTGAAATTGCTGACCTAGAAAATGTACAGAGAACCTTCACGGCGCGCATAAACGGAGATAAAAACCTCAATTACGGGGAGCGTTTGAGGTTCCTGAACCTGTATTCCCTAGAACGCAGGCGGGAGAGATACATGATATATATACACCTGGAAATCCTAGAGGGACTAGTACCGAACTTGCACCACGAAAATCACTGACTACGAAAGCAAAAGACTTGGCAGACGATGCACCATCCCCCCAATGAAAAGCAGGGTGTCACTAGCACGTTAAGAGACCATACAATAAGTGTCAGGGGCCGAGACTGTTCAACTGCCTCCCAGCATACATAAGGGGGATTACCAACAGACCCCTGCAGTCTTTAAGCTGCACTGGACAAGCACCTAAAGTCGGTTCCTGATCAGCCGGCTGTGGCTCGTACGTTGGTTTGCGTGCAGCCAGCAGTAACACCTGGTTGATCAGCTCTATCACAAGAGCTGTCACAGACGGCCGCTGGGGTTGACCCCGGAACTCTCTCCATAAACTCCAGTAATATATTTTTTGACATAACATATTGTACAAGAATATATACAGTGGACCCCGGTTAACGATATTATTTCACTCAATAATATTCAGTGCCAGTACACCGAATTTATCCCATAAGGAATATTGTGAAGAGATTAGCCATTTCAGACCCCTCAAACATACACGTACACGCACACATAAACTTACATAATTGTCCATAGGTATCGTAGGGGTCCACTGTAGTTGGGTGAACAGCAAAAAATCCTTTTATGCAGAATTATCCGCTTCAAAACTATTACACAATGAAAGGTCATTTAAAATCAATAATTCAAAATTACAAATTCCACATATTTCGCAAACAATAAAAAATTTACAAAAATGAACAACATATAACAAATTTGTCACATTTAAATCAAAAATGATCAAATTCCTTATCTTCATTTAATTAAATAATAAATTAGTAATTAAATTTAAGTTTAATTACCCAGTAATGGTTTTTGAAATCTAAATGAACACCCCTTTCTTAGATTTTGTAAAACCAGGTTTTTTTTTAACCCCAAAGCCTTTAAAAACCCAAAAAAATTCCAACAAAACCCTCAAACCCCCCTTCCCCCTTTAAAAAACCCCTCCAAAAATTCTCCATTTAAAAAAATTTAAAATACCATAATTTCCCAAAATAAAACCCCCCAAATGACCCCCCCAAAAAAAAAATTTAAACCCCTAAAAATAAAAATTAAAAATCCCATAAAAACCATATTTAAATCCCAAATAATTTTTAAAAATTTTTTTCCCATTTCGAACCCCCAAAAAACAAAACCCCCCCTAAAACCCCCCTTATCGACAAAACCCCAATAATTTCCAATAAAAATTTTGCTCCACTTTTTTAAAAAAAAAAAATCAAAATCCCTTTCCCCCCCCAAAAATTAACCCTGTACTTCAAACAAAATTTAAACCCCCCATTTAAATCCTTTAAAAAACCCCAAAACAAACCTTAAAATAAATTACAAAAAAAATTTTTAAACAATAAATTTTAAAAATAATAAAACAAACAATTTTAACCCCAAATTTTACACCCCTTAAAAAAGGAAATACAAAAATAAAACAATTTTTATTTCCCTTGCATTTAAAGAATTAATAAATTGGTTTTTTGAAAAAAATTTTGAAAGTGTTGTTTAACCCAAAGGCGAGTAATTTTTTATTAGAAAAGCTTAAATAAATTTTAAAAAAGGCCCGTTACATTAGTTTGTTTTTTTTTTAACAAATTTCCCAGATTTTTCCCTTAAACCCCTTTTTCAGAGGGAAAAACCCCAGCCCCCCCCCAAACCCCCCCCCCCAAGTGCCCCCTTGTGTTATTCGGGCAAAAATTTAAATTTAATCTCGCCTGGTGGTTAACTTTTTTTTAAAAATTTTTTTTAACCCAATCAAATTTGGGGGTTTTAAAGGTGGATTTAATTTTTGGAAAATTTCCGACGGGGGGCCCATATAAAACCCAATTTAGGAAAATTGTTCAAAAACAACTGTTTTTGGGGTTATTTTTTTTGTTTGGGTCTTGTAAAATAATATTTAATTTAGAAATTTAACCGGGGTTTAAAATTGTTTTTTTTTAATTTTTAATTGGGGTAGTAAAGGGGTAAAGAGGTTTTAAAAAACCCAAAAATTTAAAAAAAAACAATTTTAAAAAGGTTCAAAAGTAATTTTCTTTGGGCCCCTTTTAAAAGGGGGCATTTTTTAAAAAAATTTTTTGGGAGATTTTTTTTTTTTTTTTTTTAAAAATTTTGTTATTTCCCCCAAGATGAGATTTTTTTTAAAACCGCCAAAAAAAAAAAAAAAATTTCCCCCCAAAAA